TATATATATATGCTAGCGAGCAAAAGAAACCCAAACTCCTGTTTTCCTTTGCAATGAGATCATGTTCGTTTTCCAATATTTACAAAACGGGGTCATTTAAACACAAACTGTTTTCTAGCGTTATGAAGGGATACGTGGGGCATCACTGTGAATATTAAATTTTATCGGAATACATTTTCAACTTCCGGTTAATGCACCAAAATGCTCAGCAGTGGTTATGGGCTTTATTAAAACGGACAACCGCAATACATCTCCAGTACAAGGAAGCCACTTGGTTGTTGGTAAATCGTAGCGGGGTCTGCCTCCACATCTCCGGGATGGCCACACACAGTTCCTGCGTGGTTCTCGCCCTTTGTTGTCTCCCCTCGATGCGTCGTTTCATTTCGTCCCTAAAATGTTTGATTTGGTTTAAATCCGTGCTAACGGCAGGGTGGGGCTGTAGAGGGATGCCATGGTGTTGGGGGAAACTCTGTGTAACACGGGGAGTGTGCACACAAGCACTATCTTGCTGGAACCGGAAGTTAACATTTTGTCTGTGTATAGAGCCTAAGAAGTTCTGCTATGAGGCAAGCAGCATTGATACCTTGACCTCGACCTTGGCCTTTTTTATTAGAAGAGCATTGGTCCTACTTTGTGGTTCCACATTATTCCACCCAAGATCATGACGTGATGTCCTTCCCAGCGATTCCTCTTTATGACACAATTACGTTCGCCTCCCTTTTGATAAACTCTGAGGCCCCTGTTAATTGTATCTATGAAAAACATGCATTCTTCCGAAAATGAGAACCGAAGACCAGTCTCTCAGACGCTTGTTGACTGGTGCTGGGCTCAATTGAGACGCTCTTGGAGATGGTGTGCGGTCAAGAATGGACCGTGGTTAGGTCGACGGCGTCTAAGGCCTACCTGACGCAATCGTCGGTTCTCTGTGTATCGACTTCTGGCTCTTCTGTGGGTACTCCCTACCAAATCTGACGTTCTTGTAGCTGTCAGAAGTCGATTTGAACGATACATCCCGACAATATGTTTGTATTTACGTGCACAGGTCACTCTGGGTCGACCTGACCTTTTTCGGTCTGCCGTAGAATTCGCGAGCTGAAAACGGGTTATCAGTCTGTTGATAGTCGAGATGTGAACACCAAAATGATTGGCGACCACAATTGGCCTTTCTCCACCTTCCAAACGGCCTATTGCTCTTTCTCGCTGTACAGCCCTTAAACGCGGCACTGTCGTTGCAGATGCAGGCGAAACGGCCTAACTGATTTTTTACCACGACTTTCATAGCCGAGCTCAGGTAAATCCTTTTCACACTTTTTTCACTCATTTAGACCGTGTTTCGAGGGCACCACGTGGCATTTTCCCTGCTCCAATTAAGGGGCAATATCTCTAGTTTCCGGTCACCAGCAAGACAGGCGACTTTTGATTTCTAAAGAACATTTGACATATTATCATTGGTGTAAATTTCAGTCTTCTACGATTGATGGTTATTTAGTTATGGCCCAAATAGAATTTTTTTGCGTTTCTTTTGCTCGCTATAATATATA